CCACGTTAGTTGTCAATTGGATAACGTGCTATAGTTGCACTGCAGCTGCACGGGAAGGGCTAGCTACGGCGTTCAATGCGCTCATTCTACAACTTACCACCACACGATGAAGACCTTTGCCATCCTCGCCTCGCTCGCCGTCGCCGCTTCGGCCACGGTCCCCGACTGCACGGTGGAGAACCTTGCGGGTGTCAGCGCCCTCTTGGCCAATGCCACGGGTCCTCTTCCGCCGTGCGCTAAGTCCCTCAACATCGACGTTGCCAAGATCGACCCGTCGTGGCAGCCCGCTGACATGGCGACTCTTGAGGCGTTCATGAAGTCGTCCGAGTGCAAGACGTACTTCAACGAGCTCGCGGGCGTGCTCAAGAAGATCAACCCGCCGTGCAACCTCGCCAAGGGCGCTGAGTTGACAACGGCGACCTTTGGCGCCATGACCTTTGATGACTTCACCGCTGGCATCAACAAGGTCCTTGCCGCCGCCAAGACCACGACGGCCCCGACGACGAAGCCCAGCTCGGCCGCGACCGTGACCGGTGCGACGGCGCTCGCGCTCACGGCCGCCGCTGTTGCGATGATGTAATAAGTCGACACATGTGCTGTTTGGACGTTTCGTTAACGTATAAAGTCAACTCTTTGGCTTCTAAGATTTGTCTGTTTCTACAATGTATTTGTGATGGGAAGCATCAGAGCAAGGGTTTGTAACGCGAGCCAGTTGTTGGCTCGCTACAAGGGCCATCATCCGATTTGATGGAACCAGATGCCCATCGGACTTCGTTGGTTTTTGCGGAGCTTACTTCCGAGAGACAAACGATCGACTTACCTCCTCCGAGATAGGGCAATCTCAGTGGAGACTGCTGCGAAGGACTCGGAAGCAACCTCCGGAAAATGCCACCTCTACTGCAGTTGTCTGTTGATGTCTTTAATCTCGTTTGTCATTTTCACTTTGGATTCTTCTCCCACGCATCGCATGCAGCTCTTCCGCCTCCTCGCCTCGCTTCCGGTGATGCTTGTCGTCGCCGCGCCGTCCCCGTGCGCCGTCTCGGAGGAAACCAAGTCCGTGGCGCAGCTCTACAAGGACGCCGTCACGGAAGGCGGCAACCTCGTCGTGTACCACGGCGGCGACTTTGCCGCACAGCAAGCCTTTGTCGCCGACGCCTTCCGCGCCGCGTTCCCGAAGGTCAACCTCACCATGGTCGTCGACTATAGCAAGTACCACAACGCGCGCATCGACAACCAGCTCGCGACCAACTCGCTCGTCGCGGACGTTGTCGCGCTCCAAACTCTTCAGGACTACCCGCGCTGGAAGAAGGAAGGCAAGCTCCTCTCGTACAAGCCCAAGGGTTTCAGCAGCGTCTACAAGGGCTTCACGGACCCCGACGGCGCGTGGCTCTCGCACGGCGTCTACTCGTTCAGCTACTTTTACGACGAGGCGTTGTTGCAGGCCAAGGGCCTCGCGCCGCCAGCGACCGCCAAAGACCTCGCGGACCCCAAGTACGCGGGTCTCATTGCGTCGTCCTACCCGCACGACGATGACGCGGCTCTCTTCGTGTACGACCGCTACGTCAAGGCGTACGGCTGGGACTGGGTCAAGAAGATGGCGGCGCAGCAGATCTTCTTCCAGCGCGGCTCGCACATGGCCGGCGTCGCCGTCACGGCGCAGACCAAAGCGATCGGTGTCGCGGGCGGCCCGTCGTACACCAACACGACCAAGGTCATTGCCGGACCCAACGCGACGTCCGACTACCTCGCGTGGGGCCAGCGCATCGCAATTCTCAACAAGGCGCCGCACCCCGCGGCCGCCAAGCTCTTTGTCAACTGGGTCGTCTCGAAAGAGGTCCAGTCGACCCTCATGGCCGGCTTCTCGTCGCGCACGGACGTGCCGTCGCCTGCTGGTGTGCAGCCCTGGGACATTCTGCGCGCCAACTCGCTCGCGTTCCAGTCGTGGATGGAGAACCGCGCGTACGTCGAGGAGCTCAAGGCCACGTTCGCCTTGTACTTTGG